GGATTAGGATGATAGTGGTTCTGTGGGTTCTGGTCTTCTGGGAAGCAGGTGCCAAGACAGAGTTAAACATGCAAGAGATTTATTGGGGTAACACCTGTGAAATATAAAGGAGTGAAGGAGCAGGGGTTGGAAGGGGAAGTCTTCACACATCAGTGCAGGTTTAATGCCTGTGAAAGGAGAGGGGGAGAGAGGGAGCCAGCAGAGGAAAATGAGGAGCCACTTGTAAGGTGGGTTTCAGGAAGGGTGCTGTCAACTGTCGGATGCTGCTTATGGATCAAGCAAGGTGAGGCCTGAGGACTGCCATTGGATTTAATGGCATAGCGGTTACTGGTGACCTTGACCAGAGAGGTTTTAGTGGAGTGGTGAAGGTAAAAGTCTGAATAGAGAGCATTCAAGAGGCAGGAGAGGAAGCAGAGACAGCAAGTGTCGACAGCTTTTTTGAGGAATTTTTCTGTGAAGGGATGCAGAAAAATAGGGGGATACTAGGAGATGGAGTTTTTTGTTTGTTTTTTAAGATGGGAAATACTAATACCATGTTTTCATGCTGATAGAAATGATGCACTACAAAGCAAAATTGATACAGGAGAGGGGGGAACTGTAGTTGCAAAGTTCCTTCAAGGTGAATGGGATTGAGCAGGTATATGGTGGTGAGATAGTCATGTGAACAGTTTATTTATACAGGATTTTTTTTTTTAAGATTTTATTGGGGAATTGGGGGGGCAGGTAACAGCGTTGGGGAATTGGGGAAGGGGAACAGACAGACAAATTGCTGTTTTGTTCTTCAGTCTAGCTGTGGTGGACGTCGCTTCACTGGCCCATGTTGGAATGATCATTGCGCTCTTCCCGGACGAGGCAATCGGTCACCGGTCGTTGGTCGGCCGCTCACAGCAGCTCCTGGTAGCTCACACCAGCTACCAGCCACTCATGCTGGCTGCCAGCCACTCACGTAGCTCACGGCAGCCCACTGCAGCCCTGCTGCAGCCTATGCCGTTGCCGGCGACTCACAGCAGCCCAGCTCCAGGTTGAGCTGTTGTTAACATCTTAGCTGTAGAGGGCGCAGCGTCACTGGCCCTCAATGTTGTATCCGAACCGCAGCCCTGCTGCTCAGAGCTGGTGCTCCCAAGTGAGCTCTTAACCAGCTGAGCCACTCTGCCAGCACCATACAAGATATTATTATAATAACAGAGGACTGTTCATCCTGACCTACAGTTGCCTCTCCTGGACAATGCTGAGGTTCTCTCAGTTACAGGGAGCTCATCGTTGCTGATGCTCCTGTGTTTGCTCCGTGTTATAGACTGTGTGGTTTCCATTCATTATCTCATTTAACTCTCATAACAGTCCTATGAGACATAAGTACTATTAATACTATTCCTAGTTTGCATTCCAGGAAACTGAGGATTAGAGACGGTGTCTTGCTGAAAGTTACACAGCTAGCAAGTGGTGGAGTTGGCACTGATCCAAATATCTCTGACCCCGAAGGCAAGTGAGGAAGGACTCCCTCTGAAGGACTGCAGAGTTTCTTTTGGGAGCTGTAGCGTTGTTTCCTGGTTAGGTCTGGTATCTGGCATTTGCCCTGGTAATCCAACAGCAGCTCCACAGTCAGTTCCCCCGCCCTACTCTTGTTACTGACAAAGTGATTGTATCAATGTGGGGTGCTTTTGGCTGTAAGTAACAACCACAATGGCTTAAACAGAGAGCTTTTGTTTTTATTATATAACAAAATGTCTGGAGGTAAGCAGTTGCAGGCATTGGTTCAACCGTCCAGCGGAGTTGTCAGGGACCCACGCTTGCCATGTATTTCCACTCTACCATTTATAGTGTGTGTTGGCTTTTGATCTCAAACTTGTCTTGTGGTTGCAAGATGGCTGCTGCTGCTCCTGGCATCACACTCTGCTTCCAAAGAAGGAAGACAGGGAAAGAACTATGGATAAAGCACAGATGAATGTGTTTGTCCCTTTTTATCAGGAAAGCTGCCGCTTTCCCAGGAGCTCTATTCAGCAGGCTTCTGTTTCTATCACTAAGTCAGAACTGAGTCATCTGACCACCCCTAGTTGTAGAAGGAACTAGTCAGTACCTGCCCTCCTTGTCTCTGAGGTTGAGGCAGGCTGTGCAGAAGGGGTTGGAAATACTCAGGACAGCTAACCCGAAAGGTCTGGTAGAGGTTCCCTGGCCAGAGGCGAGGCTTTGATTGGTTTGATCAATTACCTCCTGGTGTCGAGTGCCCCAGCAGAGTTTTCATATGGGCCTCCTTGTGGGTCACTGGCCCATTCAAGCTTCGGGGCTGGATATTAATCTGTGGTGACTTCAGCTGTGACATGGGAGCAAGTGGTGTGGACAAGTTGCACCAACATGGTAACCTTTGTGTAAGAGACCACTCTGCAGGTCTTAGGTGCCCGCTCCTGTTTATCTGGAGAGGTTTCCAGTCAGTGAACAGGAGGAATAAGAGACATCAGAGGAGTCTTGGGGATAAGGAAAGACTTTTTTAAAAAACAAATAGAACACATAGATAAAGAAAATGATTTAGGAATTTCAACTGCAGAAACCTGTGCACCAGAAGACCCCATTAAAAAAGTTAAAAACAGGGGGCCGGCCGAGTGGCTCAGTTGGTTAAGAGCTCGCTCAAGAGTTTGAGCTCTGAGCAACAGCAGTTCAATTCCTGGCCCAAGCTGAGCTGCCACTGAGCTGCCCACAGATGGCAGGATGGCTCAGCTTAAAAAAAAAGAAAAATTAAAAATGTCGACTGGAAAAAGGTATTTGCAAAAGCATTAACTGACAAAGGATTAATGTCCAGAATACATTCATATATATTATATATCTATATTTATATGATATATGTGTTATATACATGCTATACATGGGGGTAGGAGGGTTGTTACTTTGTGAGGGGTGAAAAGGATAACTATTGCATTGTTCTGTACACCTGAAACTAATAATAATAAAAAAAAGAGGACAGAAAGTAAAAACTTCGTGAGTACAGAGTTTAAGAAACAGATCTGTGCCTGTCTCCCTTGTTATCTGTACTAGACCAGGCAGGCACACAGTAAGTTTTTGACTGCAAAGCTTCCAAGTTTTGCCTGCTTTGTAAGTGATTGTTGACATCTGTTCAGCCTGCTCTTGCACCAGAGAACTCTTTAATCACTCCTTGTCCCCCTACCAGCTCTCCCCTATTCCACATGCCCAAAGGACTGTTTTTATTGGAATTATTTGTCTTGCTGACATTTTGCTACAAGCCCTACTGAGTTGAATTAGGTTATGAAAAGATAACATAATGAGTAAACAGCGGCTATAGAGGCCCCAAGTAGTCACAGTTGGTTAAATTGCATACTGAGTAAAATGGGGCCTCCGTGCTCTTTTATCTCCTTCTGATGGCTTAGCACCCCAGGCTCACCTGTCCCACAATCCTCTTCTAGTTCGTGGTGCCATTTATGAGATAGGCTTCAGTGGTCCTGAGGTTTCATTCTGGCAGCCCTCCGCTTGCAGGGCCCATGCTCCAAGGCTTAGGCTGTGGGTGGGCAGCACTGCAGAGCTTCATTCTCAGCTTGCTCGCTGGAGGCCGGGGTGGAGGGCTTGACCTCAGTGTGCCACCAAGCCCTCCCTCTCCTCTCGCCTTCAGCCCTAGCACTTCCACTCACTGCCCCCTCCACCCAAACCTCAGACGGCAACGTTGACTCTAGTCAGAGGGAACATATTGGTTACATAACTGCTATTGGGAGGTACACTGGCTTGTTAGAATTTCCAGAATGAATTTTTACATAGTTTGGTAGTTCAGTAATTTTCCAGAAGCATAGGCAGCCAGGGCCTGGGAGGTTTCCCCGAGTCTGTTAGGACTCACCCCCATTGCTTTTTGCACAAGAACCGGGGGCTGTGACACGCTGTCTGTGGTGGAGCATCCTAAGAGGTAAAGCAAAGGATTTTTACCATGGAAACACCACAGCCCAGGCCTAGGGGCCCGTGGGGGTGGCCGTGGTGCTTTCACATGCTGCTGTCGCAGCAGGCTGTAAAAGGGGGTGAACTCCCTGCGTCTGGGCCGTTTTCTGGCTGTCAGACAAGCAGAGTAAGCTGACAAATCCAGTGGTCACTTTGTCCCAGTGGTTTGTCTTGGCTGGTCAACTTGGAGAAACCAAAGTAGTTCAACAAGGCATATGACTGACTAAATAATTGAACATATCAATTTGCTCTAGCAACAGAACATGGGTGCCCAGTGCAGCACCACGCTCTTGTGGACATAATATAGTAACATGGGGTGACATTGCTAGCAAAGCATTTCCAACTCTGTGTTTCTTCATATGCCCCTTCCGATACACTGCCTCTCCTCTCAGTGGATTCTGTAATACAGTTCCTTTCTGCCACATTGCCACTTACCACTGCCCCTGTTTCTCCTTAAGCTAGATATCTTTGACTTAAATGAGTTTTATTTTCCTCCATCTAGCAAATAGGTTTCAGTTCTCGTGCCGTCTCTGTGCCATTAAAAATGGCTGCCTGGAGTGTGGGTTACTGAGGATCCGGAGGCCAATCTCAGCTCAGCAGGGAGGAATGCTGACTTATTAGCCTTGTCTGATGGGCACAGGTTAGGGCTTGGGGCGCTCCTGTCTGAAATACTCATAAAAATGTTGAACATGAAGAAACCTCTTAACACACCAAACTCTGAGTGATGGTTATTGTAGATGGTTAGATTACGGGGGACTTTAGTGTTCTTTTGATAATGTTCTGTATTTTCTACATTTTTGACAGTGAACATATAGTACTTTAATAAGCAAGGAAAACACTCTTAGTGTTATTGTGAAAAGAAATGTCTTACCTGAATGAAACCAGTGATTTGCGTGTGCTGTGCCTGTTTCCGCTTCGGGGCTGCGTAGCTGCAGCGCACTTCAGGAGGTTCGGCGTGCGCTCCACTTTTTCCTCTCCTGTCTCTAAAAAATCCTTTGAATCAAGCCCATTGTTCTTGCCGTGAGGTGGCACGTGGGCCTGGCTGATTGGTTTCCCATCTTTTAACGTGACAGGTCGAGGTGGTGCATCTATCTATGGCAAGCAGTTTGAAGATGAACTTCATCCAGACTTGAAATTCACGGGTAAGTCATCTGACTGGCCTGGGTGTGAAAGGGGGGGTGGGGGTGGATTTTAACACATTGTAGACTGGTGACACAGATTTAAGTCTATACATTTAAATGCCCCGTCCTCAGTGTGTTAAAAGTTCATCCTTTTGGCTGTGATTCAAGGTGAATGCCAGACATCGTGGCATGGTGCCCTGAAGCTGCCCAGCCGCGGCGCCACCAGGAGCCCTGGAGGATTAGAGAAAGTGGTGCCCCTCTCAGAGTCCTGCATGGTTCAGAGTGCTGGTCTGGGTGTTCTAGACAATAACTATTTGTTGAATGTTGCTGTTATAAACTATAAGAAAACCAAAAGCTTCCTCAAAGCAGCAGCAAACCTTGCTGGGATTTCTTAGGGGAATTGGGAACATGGTCCGGTGATTAGCGGGGTTCATCACTGATAGAGGCTGGGGACCAAGTGACGACTAGGGAGATAAGGTAATCGGGGTAGTGCAGCTGATGGCCTTTGCGCAAGGTGAGAGAGCTGCCCTGAGGGAAATGTCTGGGTTGGGTGGTGGAGTCCAGAGGCCAGAATGCGGTCTGGCTTCTTTTCATCGCTAGGATGGTGAAGTAGGTCCTGGCTGGAGCTGTGGGATTCTTCATACTCTCCTCTCTTCCTTTTTTTCCACCAGGGGCCGGAATTCTTGCAATGGCCAATGCAGGGCCAGACACCAATGGCAGCCAGTTCTTTGTGACCCTGGCTCCCACCCAGTGGCTTGACGGCAAACACACCATTTTTGGCCGTGTGTGCCAGGGCATAGGAATGGTGAATCGAGTAGGAATGGTGGAAACGAACTCCCAGGACCGCCCTGTGGACGATGTGAAGATCATTAAGGCATACCCTTCTGGGTAGTCTTGCGGCTCTCGGGCACACCCAGGTCATCCGAGATGACCCCAGCGAGCCAGCTTCCAGATGGTCTAGAAAGACACATAGCTCTGAACTTCATTTTGGTTTTGCAAATTGTGGTGCTGGGGCCTTGGGTGAATTAGAGATGGAAGTGTGTTTTCACAGGATGCTTCTTTTCTCTTCTCCCGGAGCCAAGGTTGACGGCATTGGCAGGAATGCCCATACGAGATCGTACACAGGTTGCCGCTCACTGCAGACGACGCATACTGCTCCTTGTGTGTGTATCTGCTTAATAGATGCGAAACAAAATGAAGCCAGCCCCGTCATTTTGCAGTGCCCCACCACACTTCTTCCTGCAGAGACTTATATTCCAGTCCATACTGCATACTTTGGTGGCTGACAGCCACAGAATTCAGAACCCAGTGGTGTCTATCAGCCTTCTGACCTCTGTACACCCCATTTCAGCCTCCTACAGTTCTTCCCGGGAACGTACGCATCTCTCTCTTTCTTTTCCCTCTCAAAGCCAGAACATCAACACTGCTGTTTCTGACACTTACACATCCCACGCAAAGCCACATTGGAGTTTTGCCAAATGAAAACTGCATCCAACAATAAAGTTTCTAAGAAGGTGTCAAGTGGGGAATGATAATGTGTAATAATTGAGAAATGAATTTACTAAAAGGAAGCAGAAGCACTGACCATTTTTTCCCCAGAAAGGAGTAGAAATCTATACTGAGCATAAGGCCAGACTATGAATTCTCCTTAAAAAGCAGTGTTCACACACATAAAGGAGAAGCACAGCTTAAGTTTTTCTTTTTTTAAAACTTAAGACTTTAGAGAAACTAAGATTTTATATGGTTTGTTTTTTTTTAATCTTTTTTATTTTTTTAGGAGGGGTGGTGAGAGAAAGGAAATTGATACCTATGTAATACATAGAAACTTCCAAAATAAAATGCCATTGGTGGTTAAAATCACTGCTGTGGTCTAATTTTAAATATTATATACAGTTCTAACAGCCATTTTAACCTCTGAACCATCTCAAGGGCT